ACTCGACATTTGGGAGAGTATCCACAGTGCCTATCTTTAGGCGACTGAGGACTTCTTTCCCTGCACCGTTCAATGAAGAGAGACAAGTCCCTCCAGAATTAAGACTGACACACAGATTTGACCTAGGTGTTACCAGTGTGTGCCTGCACTATTCACTTTTACTTGCTGATACCTAATACAAAGATACATAACCAGGCTTTGGGACTAAAATCTAGGTAATAAAAATAGTTATGTTTGGCTGATTCAAACTTGCCAATGGATCAGCAAAAATTCTGCATCAATAATGCTAAAAAAGCCCACAGAGAAACTTCAAGCACTTTATTTACTGTTGCTCAGCTCCTCCTGTAACCACCTTCTCAAAACCATCTGGAAACTAGGAACAGAAACATAAATTTTCAGAAAAACATTGCTCCAAAAATACCTTTTTATGTAAGGCATTCTGTGGTTCTACTGTATCTCCCCAAGGAAAAAGCTCTTATGAACAGTACTTGGAAAGTCAGGAATGTCCAGGCTCCCCTTTTTATATCAGGGTGGACATCTAAACAGAAGTGGATCTCAGAACCTGACAGGCAGCCAAACACAAGTTCCAAGTATTTCTCTTGCTAATCACAAGAGTTTGGAGAAGGCAAGCCTTGAAGTTTATTCTGCCTATGAGGCAGTTAACTCCCGATGAAGGAAGTGTCCCAAGCATTGATCTCAGTGTGGAGAACTACCATGCAATCAAGTACCACATTGCACATTCCCATCATTGTACCAATTACTGTCTTTCCCACTATTAGATCTAAAAGAAAACAAACCACCTTTCCAGGCTGAAGCATGTCTCTTGGAGAAAATGAGTAAAATGTAGGTGCTTTAATCCAACACATGAAACTTGCAGAAATACTGGCTCTTTCATTTCATAGTCTGCCAAATTTGGCATAAATAAAATTTTAAAGTCTGAATAAAACATACGCATCAATGTAAAGATGATTATGCATCATCTCCTTCCACAATTCACTTTAGGATTTCCTGTGATAGAAATTTTGTGCTGAATTGTAACATATTTCACTATGAAAATATTTTTTTAGAAGCGCCAAATGGTATGCAAGTCCTCTCATACAGAAATAAATGTAATGGTCAGCTCTTTGACACAAACGTCAAAAAAAGGAAACTTAGCAAAATCCATCTTTATCAGAACATAACTTAGAAAAACTATTCTTACCGAGAATCTCTGTTATTAAGCACTAGTTCAAGATTTTGTGCTGATGATGAATCTATCATAGCTGTTTTCTCACTCCCCTGGAAACGCACCTTGAGTGATTTAGGAGCATAAACGGCGTTTTGAATAAATTCAACATATTTTAGCAAAGCTGCAGCAGCTGCAAGACAGTAATACCTTGGAAAAAAAACAATCTTTTATGAATGTTGAATACTGCTATTGAAATACCACAAAAGTAATGCACTATAAAAATAACATTCACAATATTTACTTTGTGGTTTGGCAAAACTCCTGTGATTGAAAGCACTGAAAAAGCAGTATATTTAAAATATGCACAGTCGTGTCTAGTGAACAGATCAAATATTTATAAACGTCTGAGTCTCTCTACACTTGACAGCCAATACTGTGTCGCTGCTATTGTGAACATACATATTTCAACAGACACATGCGACTTGAGGACTCTGGTCACCAAAGTATCAACATGTAAAATTGCTGATACATAGAAAATGCTTGCTGAGGCCAGTAAGAAACGCAATCCTAGCTCCTGAAAGGTATCTTTAAGGAAAGAATGAAAAAGACAAAGTGTGAAAACTCAAAAAACCCCACTCAATCATGTAATAACAAGCTTTCTATTTACATTTCTGGATCTATCAGAAACACCAGAGGGGAAAAATAAAAAGACAGCCCTGTTACGATTTTTTAACTTTTGCAACATGACACAGACATATAATGAGTATAGAAAACAATTCCGTTAAAAACTTATCTGGACACATTAAGCTTTTCCTTATTCAAACACACTTTGATTGGACTTCCATGAAAATGGTGCTAAATTCAGATGCACACAATTGCTCAATGTACTCCAAACCCTTCGTTTCATTGAAGTATTTTCTCTGGACAGTTGTAAAATTCACATTCTGTGAAGATGGGGATGAAAGCAAACAGTTTTAAAAGTTACATCAGAGACACATCGGTATTTTTCCAATGACACGTGTTTCCAAGAAACCTATCAACTGATTCTGCGACCCATCCTCATAGAAGTGTTCATTCCAGCTTACTAACATAAGCAGGTCAAAGTCACTGAAGGTGCGTGATGCACAAGTGATTTGATGCACACGTGAGAAAAAGAGGAGAGAGGTCAGCAAGCAGAAGGGCACTCAGGAAGAACCCATCAGCTCTATAGGCATGAAGCAATTCAGGCAGCAATTAACAGATTTTTTTAAAGGTTCTAGGTTTTAATACTCATAAATTACTTATACTAGTACATCTAATCCTCTTTTACCCTGACAGTGCTCTTTCTCCTATTCTATGATACATCAGCCCCACTGATTCATCAGGTTGAGAGAACAAGGGAGAAGCAAAAGAGAATCCTTCATTTTTTAAATTTCTGTATCTTTCCTAGGTTTGCTATTACTCAAATTACACAATGCCATAAATTCAAACCTTTCAGCTTTCATCAGCAATATACCTATCTCTGTAATTGTTAGTACTGGAAGTAGTAGCGTGGAACCTGCATTTCATTTATTCACTACCATTCTAATATTAGACCTGAAAATCATAGAAAAAAATCATCTGCACTTAAGATTTTAAAAGTTGTGTAAAACTCTCAAATCAACCATTATACAAGTGATCAACAAGAACTCTAAAACACTGAATGAAATTTAAACCTTACCTTGAAATGCTCTGTTATCAAACTGAACAATTTTGTTGTATTCCCTGCATCACAAGCAGTGTTCGACATTATTATTTCTAGGGGTGTTAAAATCTTTAGTTTGGTAATAACCTGAACAAAAAATTTAAAACAGTTTAATAAAAAAACTATATAATCTAAAGTATTTTAGACAATCATGAACAGCAATAACAAAATACAGAACCCTTGTATTTTAGAATCAGTTTGAGTTACAAATTTTCTGCTAACTTCTACAATAATGAGTCAAATTCATATGTATCTAAATATACCCAAAACTAAAATAAAAACAAACAAAATTCAGAGCTATCTCCTGTTCAAATCAAACAGATTTGAACACAGAATCATGCCTGCCCTTGAAGCAAGAGATAAATATCCAAAACTATATTCCATGGCATGATGGGTGAGAAGGACTTATTTCAACAGATAGCAGATTTCTGGGCTTGCAGCAGAAGGTTAATGGTACTCTGGATGATGAAGAAATGCAACATGTCTGAATACTACTAATCTTTTGATTGAGACTAGTTTTTTATTTTGTTTTAACCTCCTCTTAGCAACATTTATCTCAGTATTAACATGGCTACAAATGTGCATACTTCACCAGCTTTACATTATGCACATGCCCTGTAGGGATTATTAGTAGACTATATGCTCTTTTACAGTATAAGAAAGAACAAACAACATTATGCATTTATGCTCATTTATACCAGCATTCAAAAATTCTCAAGGGAGAAACATGAAAAAACAGACTATAGTTTAACTGCTTAGAAGTTAAGATGTGCAAGAAATTATCCCAATTAAAAGGTCAACAAGCATAAAAAAATACACAAAATAAATCATCTAAGGGCATTTGAGGTGGGAGGGCTATCACTGCCCTTCATATCTGCTAACCACTAGGAAGTTTTTTTCCAGTGGCATCACAGTTCAGCAAATCTCCAAGAACTTAAAGAATACAAGAAAAATTTCCTGAATTTATTTGCAGAACATTCAAAAACAAAAGCAAGCACAAGAAAGAGAAAATACAGTAGGTTGAATACTAATCACTAGGCAAAGGACGGATTCTGAGAGTGTAAGAAAAAAGTTGATGAGCATATAAGACGGAATTGTTGAAAGGAATAAGATGAATGTGTCTTTACAAACAGATTGTGCGAATCTGCTTGCTTCTAGGGCCAGAGACTTGTAGAGAAGGAAGTAATGGGACAAACCATCAATTTCAGAAAATGTTACTAACTGACTCGGACTGCTGCTTAGCCGAAGTCATGCTCAACTCCTGAACTTCGAGAACAACAAAGACTTCATAGGGTTATGAATATTAACTTTCCCACCCAGGGTGGACTTAAATAAAGCTGATTTTAATGGTAATGTATCACATGTTATACAGAGGGGAGCATATTAAGGAGCGCATTTAGCAGGCAGATCAGAAAGTCTGTACCTCCGAAGTACCTCAGCCAATAGGGAATGGCAACGATTCTGCAGCCAGGGAGATTAGGATAAAAAGGAGGCCCAGGCCTCCAACAATTTGAGAGACCCCAGGGAGAAAAGCTCCATGGTCCCTTCCTTTGATCAAGAATAAAAGGTACAGGACTCCTCTGTCTACTCTGTGGACATAAACTTCTGGCGACAGGATTTTTTTCACACACTATTAAAGGTGGGAGAGATTAAAACAAGAAATTAAACTGTTAGGACATTTCCTGCATTAGAGGAAAAGTAGCTGTACACTAGCATCTCTCTTTTTTGACTGGATGGTGAATGCACTATCAGGTACGAGCACAGAACAAAGAACTCAGCAATCTAAATGGAAAATTAGGAACATATGTGAACAAATATAAACACCAGCTTTTATAACGACAAGGCAGTAAACAATGAACAATCTGACCATAGCCTGAGAGGCAGCTATAAAGAATGTTCAACATATAGCCGTGTGTGTTAACCTCAGAACAGGCTTTAAAAGCACTAATGCTTAAAAATAAAACAAAACAAAGAAATCCATTATACAACATTGTACATTATACAGTAACTGTGATGTACAACAATGTTGTAAAATATACATTGTACAACATTATACAACACCTGCTTTAGTAAACAGATGTGATGTTTGTTTATATCCTGAGTCAGAGCTACTTACTGTCCCAACAGGGATTTTGTTTCTTTGAATATTGTGAAGATGCTACAAGCCACGTTGTTTTCTAGCATGCACAACTACAACAAAACCATGAGATAAGATGTTTCACTAATTCTGTTGCTGCATAAACCAGAGATTACTCACCAATTTAATGCAGAATATGCAATGCTTCCTGTAAATTGAGTGAATTTCATTTCAAACTGAGATGGAATATTTATGCAACCAACGTCACAAATATAATTACTCTATCATACACACAAATATATATTTATGCAGCTCTGTTCTCAGAACTTTTGCCTGATGAAGAAGACTTTCAAGTTCTACTACCATATATTGCCCAGTGCTCTTCAAAACGAGGATCCCAGTCCCACCAGCAGTATATTTTGCAGAAATACTATTTTTCTTTTGAAAAACAATCTTTCCTCTTTAATAGCTGAGGCACAGTAATGAAAATAGCAGTCTTTTCAACACTGCACATTTTCTAAAACTTGTTACTCCCACTTTTGAGATATCTCTTCCACAAACTAGAAATTTAATTTCCCATTAGTCTTAAGCTTTCTTCAAGAAAGTAAGTCACAATAATTAGCCCATAAAGTACCTTGGCATAAGTTGTATTGTCTGCAAATTGTGATAATATCATCTCAGGATTTTTTAAATCTATACTGGCCATTCCTACTTCACCTCTGGCAAGGCCTCTTCCTTCTACCACAGCTACAATAACCGATGCAACAGTATGAGCAGAAACTGCAGAGGAGGATGTAACTGTAAAACAATGTAATTGATATATTCAGTTACATTCAATGCAGAACAACGAAAGATTGATCAAGGAGCATCACAAACAATAGAGCAAGGATAAACAAATATACACATGCACGAAAGAATCATTATCAGTTCAGTCTTTCAGAACACTAAAGACTGAATTGATAATGATTAGTCAGACTGCAAAAGAACTAACTTTAAATCCCATTACTTTTGCATTACCAGAGCACATATGATACATGGAACATGGAACATGGCATCATTACCCTCTAACACCATTTTGCTCATACAAAGCACTGCAAAATCGAAAAACATCAGCTACTGTGTAGGTGTCCTGAAGAACTAGTGCTCTACACCTCTGAACAAGCCAACATAAAATACATAAAACTTGCATCAAGAAACTTGAGGATTATGTTATATATGATGTCCAATCCATTACAAGCCTAAAAATAAACCCTGATTAGAGATGTGCATGAATTTGGGCTCTTCACTGACCACGCTACGTGTCCACAAACATAATTTGATTTTGGACAATTTGAAAAAAGTCTGAATTCTAACTACGCTGATAATCCATACATGAATGCAAAGTAAGTAGCAAGAGGATGCAATACCAAAACATCTTCTCAGTACATAAAGTAGCATTTTTTTTGTTGGTGTATTGTTCCTCAGCCGCATCCTCTGTGGTACAAAACACATTTGAGTTTATTTTAGTATCTTAACATATAACATTAAAAATTCAACTGTAACATTAAAAATTCAACTGTTTAATAAATTAACGTCAGAAAAGTAAATTGGACTGTTTCCTCTAAGAGCTGTTAATCTTACCTGAATATCCCATAAGAGGAGTATGGCTTCTGCAACCAGATCTACCAGAAGAGAGAGGTGTTTTTCCTACACATGTACTATTCAGGCCTCGCACAGAAGAAGAACTAGTGAGATTCAATGTGTTAGCATTTTCAACACAAGAACTTTTGTCCCCAAAATAGGATTCTGAGGGGAGAGAAAAATAATTAAATTATCAAAACAGCCACAACAAATTTTTATTCAGAAAACAACATACAAAAACAGCTTATAAACCTTCATTTTTATTATCAGAAATAGATACATCCAAACAAAATGCCATTCTATGACAGCTCTCCAGAGTATAAAATGAAATAAAAGTCAGATTCCTTGAAAACAAGCTTACATTAATATAACTATTTTCTACAATGAGATTACGTGCAGTGCCAATAAAAAAAAAAAGTTACATTGTTGAATTGACATAATACAACAGAAATCAATTTACTAAGGATCAATTCATATTCTAATGAATTCTAGATTTATGAAAGAATGCTATAAATCAACCTTATCTCATATTTGCCCATTATTCGAAAAATCATTACCTAAAACTGCACACGCGTTTATGAAAACCTTTTTTTAAAGCTGAGCATCCGTTTTAAAAAACAGAACAATTAAAGAAAACAAAAGAACCACTTGGGAATGATAACCCTTTGAATTTATGGGGATCAACTCTCAGAAATCATACCGTAATCTGCAATATATTTACTAACACCAGCTTCTTTTACATATGTATTTACAATCCACCTATGTTTTTAAGTCCCGCAAAATATTTTTGTCTCAGAACACTTTTAAGTTCCAATAAATTATTTAAGTAATTTACTTGTTTTTAATTCTCTTGAGATGACTGAAGACATCCTTTATTTAGTTTAGATAACTGCTTTTTAAGATTAAAAAGATGAATGAAAATAAAAACAGCAGATCCACTAAAAATCTCCAGGTGCTATAAAACATGCAAACACAAATGTTTCTGCTTCTTATAGTACATTAAAAATTGACAACTAAGACCAAATACTTAAGTATTGTTTTTAGATGATCAATTAACTACATGACTCTTTTTCAAGGTTGGCTGGTACAAAAATATCTACAGTACTGCGTTCTGGGGTTTGTTTGGGTTTTTTGGAGCACGAGGTGGGACTTTTTTTTGTGTTTGGCTGAGAGTTTTTTTAATCTTAAAACTGTAAAAAATGCTAAGAATATTAGCTCAGACTCTTCGGTTGGGGACTTTTTTAAGAGTAGACACATCAGCATTGCAATGCATACCGATAATTTTTTAAAAATAGCATTCACTCAGACTTTTGCATAAGTTCAGTCAGAATTTTGACAGAAGAGACTTCCTGTAGAAGGTAACGAATCTGGTATAACAGGAGGGTGTAATTTTAAAGACCAGATGAACCAAACCATATACAAGCATTTCTCAAACCCAACATTTAAGTCATGCCCTACTCGAATTAGCCTTCTGTTTGGGGTTTTTTTTAGGATTCCTCTGTAATCATATATATTACCCAAACCCATTTTACCTAATTTCTAATTTATACATAATGGGGATACATATACAACAGAATTCATTGCAGCAGGTGTTAAAATGATTTCCAAGTCTTTTCATAGTTTCTTTTGTCTGAAAACACCACAATTCTTACCTTTTTTTTGCTGCGCAGCAAGATACAGACTTTGAGAGTAGATTTTTCCTAAAGGATGGCAAATAGCAGTACTGCATCGTAAGAGCACAACATCCTTACCACACATCGAGATCAACAGGCACTTAAAACTATTTCAAAGGCCAGGCAAAAAAATAAAAGCAAACCCAAAAAACAACAACAAAACTCCCAAAACAACCAACAAATCAAATGCAAACCCAAAACTCATAACCAGTGTTTCGGTTCTGTCCTGTAAAGCAAACACAGTGCAGCAATTCGAACACTTTTATTGATCCCATCAGAGAATTCAGCTACTACTATTTAAAGAAAATAAGAGACATTTCTTTAAAGAAGTGCAAGGAACGATTTCCATTGTTTTGGCCGGCTAAATTAAAAAGGTCGCCACGATGGTTAGTCGCTGCTGCCCCGTCTCAGTAAGCATCGCTTTTAGCAGCTCTTTCAGAGCCCGACCCGAGCAAAGAGAGCAGGAGGAAAACGAAACAGAGAAAGTCCCGGGCAGAGAGCGTACCTCCCCTTTCGGAAACCGCCGGCTTCACTGCGCTGGTCCCGGCAGCCCTGCCGGCTGCGAGGCCTTTCCCGCTGGAGCCGCCCAGCCGTGCCCCGCGGCTGGACGAGGTCCCGGTGCTCTCCGAGCTGTGCGGCGTCTGCAGAAGCCCTAGGGTGTAGCGAGGCGTCTGCTCCGCCCGCCTGCCCACACCAGGCGTGGAAGAGCCGCGGCCTGTGTAAGACTCCGAAGTGGCCGCCGGCCCGCCCGCTTCCGCCATGGTGCGACCCCTCGGCACCGCGCCCTCAGGACCCGGCCCCGGCACCGCGCCCACCGCCGGCAGCGGCCGTACCCGGGTCCGGCTGCCGGGGCCGAGCCTCCACACTCCGAGATGGGCCCTGCTGGTAAAAGTTGTCGAGCTGCAGCTATAAATGATACAGCAGTACACAGAGCTGCTGGCTCTGCAATGGGTTTCATTATAAATACGCAAGGGCCCCAGGAACGCAAGGAAAATGCTCTGCTCTTTAAAGCAGGAGTACTGCATTTAAACATCATTTATCCCGCATCAATTCTTCACCATTCAGATTGCTTTATGAGGAGCTTCAGCAATGTTTTCTTCATGTTCAGGAGTCTGGATACAAAAAGATCCCCGAAATAATCACTAAGCTTGTTTACCTCTGTAGTTGTCTAAAACACGTGCTTGTATGAATGTTTTACAACACTAACACTGCTTTATATATTAGCATCATGTAACGTACACCACTAAAATGTGTCAATTCACATTTCGACTAGGCACGATTTTGTCTCTGGCACTAAATACACCTTATAAAAGACTCCATATACTCACAGCTTCTTTTAACCTATAATTTAAAAGATCTTTAGAAATCACAGCTGACTTACAAAGTTACATTGACCAAACTTCCTTCAGAGAACTCCAGTAATATTAACAGGATTTCAATCTAAAGTGAAATGTTCTACACTGCTATGCAGTATCACCCACATATTAATTGCCAGGCTGTAGGACACTAGAAACTTTGAAGATGATTCCATTTTGTTTACAGAACATAGAAAAATATCAACTTTCGATCAACAGTGTTTTCCTGTGTGAAGTGTACTTGCAAAGGAAACCATAATGAAAAAAACAATAATTACTTTTAAAATTTTTATTAACCTTTACAGTTAAATAAAACCTCATCAGTGCTCTCATTCCCTCACACTCAACACCAAGCCTTTTCTGTAAGGCTTTTTACTGCAACTTTTTTCCAAACCTTGAAAAATAATTACAGGCTTTGACCAAAGAATTCATCAGGCAAGTGTGCATTTAAAAGTAGAGTTTCTACCTTATCTAAACGCCTGTAGGCTTTAAAAATTCATTAAGAATGCTTGAGCATTCATATTCACATTTAGTTTTTGAAATCCATGACAAGTGAAGGTCTACCAAATAATTTACTTTTCCCAGTTCTAGCTTACTCTACATTAACACAGCTAAAAGAATACAGATGTTGAGTACCATCTGTAAAAGCCAAGGCAGATTCAAGACCCAGCCCACTCCACTACCACACAAACTACTGCTCCCTGAAGGCCAGAGCCTGGCAGCCTCAAAAGACGAAGATAACTGTGCCAGCTGTCTACAGCCCAGAGATGAAGTGTATGGTCTTTGCCAAAAGTATCTAAACAGATCAATGTAATACCACACCACCCTGAGGCTGTGCTACCCTGTCTTAGTATTCATACACCCAGGGCAGGGGAGCTCCAACCATGACATGGACACCCAACACCGCAAAGCACTGTGACTGTGAGATGCATTAGCGCATGAGTGACAATGACTTCCAGAGGGAATATGGCACCAGCCAGCAGAGAGGTCCAACAGTGCCGTGACAATGCAGCAGCCCCAGAAAGTGTTGACTGCTGCAGCCATCAGGGAAGATGTGGATGACAGCCATCAAAACCAGAATGATGGATGAGCAAGACACCAAGCTTTAAGACAGAAGACTGTTAGGGACATGGGAATTCAATCCCCAGAGACAACTGTGTCAAAAGAGAACTCACAGAAGTAGAACTGAAGGTGCCACCCAGCTCACCACTGTGAGAGATGACTACTCAGAAACATCTACAATATGGCAGACGCCAGATAGATCCACACCTTAAGCTGGAATTACAAGACAAGAAAGGCTCGACAGGCACTATGCTGATGTGGCAATGCATAGAGACTCACAGGAGGGCTACCAAGGTGCCTAGTGATCACTAAGAGCTACGGAGACATCAAGACCAGAGGAAGGTACAGTGTACAATGCACAAGACAGACTTAACAGAGTTTACACAACATAGGTATATGCTGAAAACTGCTTTCCAGGGCATAGTCCTAACACTGCTCCTGAACAACTCTCTCCCCTACAGTGACTTTAAACCCCTCTTTGTAATTCCCAACTTTGCCCCCTCCCCCCAGAGACCTCGCCCCTCAGCAACCTTCTCTCACCTTCACTTTGAAGGAACAAGGTTCTGAAGCCATCTTCCTTGCTACTCTCCAGCAAGCCAAAGCAGGCAGGTTTCAGTGCCACCGCCCTGCTCTGGGGTCCGCCTGCTGTCCGTGCACCCCGAGCCGAGTGCACGCACTGCCCGTAGTTGCAACAGCACCATGGCCCTCACGACCAGTCAAAGCCCCCCTCGTAGCCTCTGCGTTGCAACCCCCCGTGCCAATCCGAGCTTCCCTGCGGTGCCACTTTCAGCGAACAGGAGCCATCCACACCTACTGAGGGGTCTCACTTGCCTCACCCATGTTCACTGGCCCTCGGCATCTGCTCAGAAGGGAGACACACCCCACGCCCCTCGTGATGCCCCTCGTGATGCCCCTGTGACTGAGAAAGGGGTGCAGCAGCACTGCATCCCAAGCACAGTGTGTCCACCACCCGTGCCAGGACAGCAGCAGACAGGAAAGGAAACGGTGCCCTGACAGCGTGGTAGCACTCCAGGACCCCCCAGCGGCACCGAACCGAGAGCTCCTGCAGCTGGCGGGGAGCTCTGGCCACCAGCCGTGCACCACGGGAAGCATTAGTGCAGGGGGAGAGCTTCATTCTCAACAAGCCATCATCGAAGTGCTGCTGGAGTAAGTTTTATATAAAACCGAAGAAAAATACACCTTTGATACAAATAAGTAACAAAATTAATGTAGCTGACAATTATGTAATTTATCTACAATAGTCAACAATACAAAGAATTAGATATAAAAGGTTTCTTGGTCAAAAGCTTACTATACATTTGGAACATCTGTCCCACTATCTCAAGAATGATCAAATACAAAGAAATTAAGCATAAAGCTTTCTGGCCCTCAAAAGGTGCCATGATCCTAAGACTGAAGGAAAAAACCCTCAAACCAAAACTACTGAGTCTGTTCTACAGAACAGATACTTGAATAAAACAAAACTTAGGGGAAAAAAAAAATTAAGCTCCATCCACCACCAAACATATTTGCTACAGGGAGCACCGGGATAAAAAAGGAATGTAGTCAATACTGATATTCTTCCTTATGTTACCTGTATGATTTGAAAAAATCTGTCTTTGGGAGAAGTGAGGTCGGTTTGCAGATACAGTCTAAGGAAACTGAAAGAGAGGGGGAATTTCTCATTGATGGGATCATTTTTAATTCATTGTACCGCAAAATGACCATGGATAATGTTTCTGAGGATGAAGAACAAACTCTTTCACCAGAGATTATCCTGAAGCCTGAACATCTTCAGGAAATTATACCCCTGGGTTTTCTCCCCAGTGTTTTTAGTTGGCATTTCTCTGAGGGAGAGGGAGGCTTTCATGAAGATACTTCATGCTCCCATGCTCTGAAAAGTCAGAAACAACATGATTGTTCCCTCTCAGCAACCACTTCGTAGTTAAGAGTCCTTCAATTCCCACTGGTCCACGTGCATGGATACGTGAAGTACTAATTCCCACTTCAGCACCTGTAGGAAACACCCAAGATAAAGGTGGTTAATCCTCTGATGATGTTCACATCATACTAAATGTTTTCGCACCTCTAAGTAAAAAAGCTGCCTGCCTTTCAGAGACCTGCCAATCTCTGCTCCTCTCCAAATAGCAGTTCCATTTACCTGATGGAGAAGCTCGAGGAGATTAACTATTACATTATAAATTGTAATGTTTATACTTCCGGCTGCTACAATTACTTTTAGAAAGAAAGATGCAAGAGAGAGAGAGGTACCGCTTGCATTGCTTTTAGAGGGATTTAAGGGCATAATCCTTAAAAAAAGGACAAAAACTGAACTAGTAAAGATTACGATCTTACGTCCCTTTTTATCACATTAAGGAGGTATTGGAAGACAACTGGAATTTTTTAGTCACATGGAACACTGTTCCAGCCGATACATTAATAGTGTAGTGGAGACTTCTGATTTTCTACCTCATCAAGGAATGTTTCCCTTGTCTTCTGCAATTCACAGTAGGTGCACCTGTTTATTTAATCGATACTCAGTTTGGTTCCTGCCCTTCATTACTTAATTCTGCAGGACTGGCACACTGGACAGCATCTCAATCTGCCCAAAAGGACTGAAGCATTGCACTCTTTACAGCATCGTTAGAAAGAGAAACAAAAGGAAAGCTGTTCAGCAGTTTCACGTTCTGTATTGCATTGTTCTATCACTATATGCATTCAGTATACTTCACTGCAATTGAATAGAGCTTCCAAGGATCCAAAACATCTTTGTGTGGATGAAATTTCTAGATTTCAACTTTTTGTACAGTACCTTTCCTGAAAACCTTTTATTAGACAGTAAGCTAAGAGAATACTCCTATCTTTCAGGGTTCGTACTTTTCACACAACAGAAAATTCTGCAGTCACAATCCTGCAATATCTTCCCTCTTACCAAGTCCAAACCTATAGCCATCAGAGAATCGGGTACTGGCATTCCAGAAAACACAAGCACTGTCCACATGCTGGAGGAAGAACTCTGCTGTTTTCTCTGCAAAAGAGGCAGAGACAAAAATAAAATACATTACATACAAACAGATCATGTATTCCAATAAACACAGCATAAAACAGTGAACACATGTAACAATATAACTTTCACATATGCAACTTTATCAGATAGTACTTAAACAGCCTGGGCTAAGCCACACTCATTTTTACCTTCCGCCTAGTATGCTTATCAAGTAGTCACAATTGCAAATCTTAGAAGAAGCTCACAAAGATGAGGAAAAGCAAAAATCAAAAAGATGTCCAACTCCAACTCTACTCAGTTTAGTCAAAGAGAGATTTAGTTGCACGACCGAGGCGAA